CAGTACACCTGCGGAGAGCCGTGAGCCTTGGCCACAAAATTCTGCAAATACAAACTCCATTCAGACAGCCATTCCTCTGCATGACCCTCAGGGTGAGGACTCCGCCCTACCCCATCCCACACATTTAGGTTGAACGTCACTCCTCCTGCAACCCGTCCCCATCCCCATGGTATGCAGAACAGATCAATGTCTTCTCTACTGTAGCGTGTGTGGTGGGAATAATCAAGCATTTTCATGCAACCGTGAACTGCTCTGTGCCTCAGTTTCCTCACCTGTAAAATGGGTTAACAGTAGCTATCTCCTGGTAGTGTTGTGAGGATTTTTTTTTTTTTTTTTTTGAGACGGAGTCTTGCTCTGTCACCCAGTGGAATGCAGTGATGGGCTTCAGCTCACTGCAGCCTCCGCCTCCTGGGTTCAAGAGATTCTCCTGCCTCAGCCTCCCGAGTAGCTGGGATTATAGCCACAGGCCCACCAGGCCCGGCTAACTGCTGGCTTTAGCAGAGGTGGGTTTCGCCATGTTGGCCAGGCTGATCTCAAACTCTGCCCTCAGTTGATTCACCTGCCTCAGCCTCCCAAAGTGCTGGAATTACAGGCGTGAGCCACCACACCCGGCCTAATTTTTTTTTTTTTTTTTTTCTGAGACAAAGTCTCACTCTGTCAACCAGACTGGAGTGCAGTGGTGCACTATGGCTCACTACATGTCCTAAAAGTCACTGTAAGTCTCCCAAAGAGCTAGCATTACAGGCATGGCCTCATACTGTGACGTCTTAGTATTTAGCATTATAACATTTAAGTGACATTTTTAGCAATAGTAACTGATGTTTTTTGGTTTCTCTTGCACTTTTGTGACACTCATAGCCTTTTAATCTGCATCCAAACAGCACAGAAGTTCATTGTTCCAGGAAAAGAAAGAAGGAAGATGGAAAGTAGGTTTCCTGGCTTTGATATTCTTAAAAGGCCAGGCCTTTGACAAACACTGCCTACACCCGTAATCCCAGCGCTTAAGCCAAGGGGAGGGAGGATCGCTTGAGCCTAGGAGTTTGAGACTAGCCTGGGCAACATACTGAGACCCCCCATCTCTACAAAAATTTGTAAAAATTAGCCATACATGGTAGTGCGTGTCTATAGTCCCAGCTACTCAGGAGGCTGAGGTGGGAGGATCCCTTATGCCCAAGAGTTCAAGGCTGCAGTGAGCTATGAATGCAATTCACTGCACTCCAGCCTGGGCAGCAGAGCCAGACCCTCTCCCGAAAAAAATCAAAATCCAGCCTGGAAGAAAAGAAAGGACTATGACAAAGATAAAAGATAGGGAAGAAAATATATAGAAGCAACTCCTCTCCAGGCAAACTAATTTATGGCGAAAGAAATTAGACTGGTGGTTGCAAGTGGCGGCCGGGAAGGATTAATTGGGGAAAAGGATATGAAAAAAACTTTCTAGGTGGTGGAAAGATTATAATATTATTAGTTTGACAGTTACATTATATATGCATTTAACAAAGTTCACTGAACATACACCAAAGACCTGCGCATTTTACTGTATGCAAATCACATCTAACTCACCCAACTTACCACCAAACCACATTTTTAAACGTGGAGGAGGGCTGTGCACGGTGGCTCACGCCTGTAATCCCAGCACTTTGGGAGGCGGAGGCGGGTGAATCTCCTGAGGTCAGGAGTTCGAGACCAGCCTGGCCAACATGGCAAAATCCCATCTCTACTAAAAATACAAAAATGGTCCAGGCCTGGTGGCATGCCTGTAATCCCAGCTACTCGGGAGGCTGAGACAGGAGAATTGGCTGAAACCGAAGCGGAGGTTGCAGAGCCAGATCACGAAGCAGTGCACTCCAGCCTGGGCAAGAAAACACGAAATCCCATCTCAAAAAAAAAAAAAAAAAAAAAGTGGGGAGGTCAAAGACTAGATTACAGGCGTGAGCCACCACGCCTGACCATTTTAGACTTTTTGACTGCCCTATGGTATCAGTATCAGTTAGCTAATGAGGTTAGGAAAACTTATGATTTTATAGTTTATCTGGCAATTGTTGCTGCACGGGTGTGAGTAACACTCATCCCAGCTTTCACATCCTTAAATTATTTGTGCTTTAAGAATTTTACTATAATCTATTTCATGTGTTCTACTATAAGCAATGCCAATTGATATTTGCTTTTATTTACTTGCAGTTTTGATTTCTTCTTTAACCCAAAGTTATCTAGTGACTTTCTAAAAAAAATTTTTTTTTTTGGAGACAGGGTCTTAAGCTTTGTCTCCTATACTGAAATGCAGTGGCATGATCCCAGCTCACTGCACCCTCTGCCTCCCGGGTTCAAGCGATTTTCCTGCCTCAGCCTCCTGAGTAGCTGAGATTACAGCCGCGCTCCACCATACCCAGCTCATTTTTGTATTTTTAGTAGACAGGAGGTTTCACCATGTTGGCCAGGCTGGTCTCGAACTCCTGACCTCAGGTGATCTGCCCACCTCGGCCTCCTCAAACTGCTGGGATATAGTGTGAGCCACTGCAGCTGGCTGACTTTAAACATTTTTAAGGTGATTTAAATTTTTGTAAAAGAAAATATTTCTGTCGTTATAGCATTGTAATAAAGAATGTGGGCAATAAAATTTCTGCTTTTGAGGGAAAAAATGTGGGGAGGTAAGGTCACCATGGGAAGGAAATAATGAATGTGTAGACATGGAAGGCCCCTGAGAGAAGAATCTGGCATCTCATTTCCGGTGAGCATCAGGGTCATGGTAAAACCAGATGGGCTTGGAGACTAAAAAGCAGAAGGGGCCTGGGCACTATTTCCTGGGTAAAGCCCCAGGGAGGTGTCATAAATCAGAGAGCGGAAAGGGCTCTCTGTCCCATCAGATTAGATGGAGGCTTAGAAGGCCTCACACGTCTTAGACCCCAGAATGGGGTAGGAGGAGCAGAAAGATCTCTTGTGCCCAAGAACAGCAGAAAAAGACCTCCAGGCCCAAAGGCTTTAAGGATGGAAGAGTGGGATGCCTCGGGGGCAGCCTAGGTGGTCCAAAGACTTGAGCCCTGAGCAATCAGAAGACTGTTTAACATTTAGAGAGTCCTTGCTATTTCTAGGCGCCAAAATCAGAACAGTTTAAGAAGAGGGAACTCATATGTCTTGGTCATCTCTGATCCCCACATGTAGAATAGTTCTAGCACATAGTAGGTGCTCAGGAAATGTTGGTTGACTTATCGAATTAAGAAGTGAGCTATGGATCAGGCATGGTGGCTCATGCCTATAATACTCAACACTTCGGGAGGTCAATCAAGAGGGGAGATCACTTGAGATCATTAACCAGAGAGCGACCTGGCCAACATGATGATACCTAACTCTACTAAAAAAAAAAAAATACAAAACTTAGTTGGGAGTGGTGGCATGTGACTATAGTCCCAGTTACTTGGGAGGCTAAAGCAGGAGGATCACCTGAACCTGGGAGGTAGAGGCTGCAGTGAGCCAAGATCATGCCACTGCACTCCAACCTGGGCAACAGAACAAGACTCCATCTCAAAAGTGAACTATGCTACTTTGCGCAAATTGTCTCATTGGATTCTTATCACGACTCACTGAAGCAAGTATTATCATTATGCCCGTTTTGCAGATGAGAAAACTGAGGCACAGAAAGGTTAAAATAACCTTTCCCAGGATCATTCAGTCTGTAGATGTCCAGATATCAGTTTGGAGTAAAGACAATAAAGACCCGATGTGTGCTTCCCTCCACCTTGACCCCATAAAAGCTGTCCCCATTTAGAAGTAAATTGGCGGACCCCAATTGACTGAGAGTAAATGTACACCAGTCTAGTAGAATGAAAACTCAAGAGAGAAACTAAAATGAGTAATTTAAAGGAAATTTAGTTGCATTTCTTGTGAAACTGGACAGGGAATATGAGGATTTGTACCTGCCTCTATTTACATTACCTAATTTAATTTCTTCAAAAGCCCTGTTTTGGCCGGGCACAGTGGCTCATGCCTGTAATCCCAGTACTTTGGGAGGCCAGGCGGGTGGATCACCTGAGGTCAGGAGTTCAAGATCAACCTGGCCAACATGGAGAAACCCCATCTCTACTAATAATACAAAAGTTAGCCAGGCGTGGTGGCGCACACCTGCAATCCTGTAGCTACTCAGGAGGCTGACGCACGAGGAATTGCTTGAACCCAGGAGCAGGCGGAGGTTGCAGTGAGCCGAGATTGTGCCACTGCACTCCAGCCTGGGTGACAGAGTGAGACTTCATCTCAAAAAAAAAGAAAGAAAGAACCTCTTCTGACTGACATACTAATTTATAGGTTGTCTTATGATTGCACGTGTTAATGAATGTAAGATGTAAAATATTTGGAATACAACCTGAAACACAGAAAGTGCTACCTAACAGATATTCATTGTTGTATTTTCATGTTAGAGATAAAACTGAAACTTGAAACCTACAGTGAAATCAACACACCAGAATTCGAACTCAAAAACAAAGCATGTCTTCTTAACCTCTGCATGATACTATCTTAGGAAGAGCTTATGTTAAAGTTTTAGTAACTGAAAAGGTTTAATTTCTTGCCATCCGGGAAGGAGGATGTGTGCACTCTGGAAGAGAAGCGGTTGTCCCTGATCGTTCTCAGTACTGCGGGAACAACTCACGTGCTCAGCAAAGCTATTGATGATGACCAAGTGAGAGTAATTCTCCTGGCAGAACATCCGGGCTTCATCCCATGACTTGGTGATTGGGGAGAAGTAATAACACTTGCTCCTCAAAGGCAGCCAGCCTTCAGACAGGGAACTCTGGGCGGCAGCCTGGGAACCAGAAAGAATGCTGTCAGGATGGCCTAGAACCTGAGCCATGTACATAGTATGCCATGTACAATTGTGCAGGCTGTACACTGCTCAACTCCAGCAGGGAGACACCATTCGCATAGATTGCACTGAGAGTCACTGCAAATGTGGAGTGATATAATGCGCCAGTTCTGCCATGCTCCCCATCCCTGGGCACCCCAAGTCTCACCACCTAATAAGCCCCGAAGTTCCACCAAGGACTGGTTGGTGTCAGCTCTTACACGGTCAATGTCATGCTTCAGGCCAGCTAGCCCTGACATGCCAGTCACTGTCAGAAGGGATAGGCCTGAGGGTTAGAGAGATTCAAACCCACCCTACTCCATCCACCACGTACTGCAGACACATCGAGAGAGAAGGGTCTGCTCTCCCCACTATGTCCACATTCCAGTGCAGAGCCACACAGCTGCTCAAACCAAGGCTGCACGGTGCTTAGAATCCGAGAATGGCTCAGAGGAGGGATCAATCCCGGGGATGTGGGGCAGAAGGGGTGGTGGCACCCTGGAGAAGTGGGTTTAAAGGAAGAGTTATTCGATAACTGTGAGGTAAGGAACAGGCATATTAGGCAGGGACTATCTAAAAGAAAGATGCAGGCTGCTCGTAGCTCACACCTGTAATCTCAGCACTTCGGGAGGCCGAGGTGGGCAGATCATTTGAGGTCAAGAGTTCAAGACCAGCCTGGCCAACATGGTAAAACCCCATCTCTACTAAAAATACAAAAATTAGCTGGGCATGGTGGTGCATGCCTGTAATCCCAGCTACTCAGGAGGCTGAGGCAGGAGAATCACGTGAACACCGAAGGCAGAGGTTGCAGTGAGCCGAGATCACAACCCTGTGCTCCAGCCTGAGCGACAGAGCCAGACTTCGTCTCAAAAAAAAAAAAAAAAGGAAAGATACAGAGGCAAGTATGTTGTGGTAACTCAAAGCCTATAAGAGTGAAGGGAAAACTCAGAAAAGTCTTGGAGACTGCAAGTAGAATGAGCCTTTGGATGCCTGATCCTTTATTTTATTTTTAGACAGTCCTGCTCTATCCCACAGGCTGGAGTGCAGTGATGCAATCGTGGTTCACTGCAGCCTCGACATCTTGGGGTCATGATTCTCCCACCTCAGCCTCCTGAGTAGCTAGGACTACAGGCACACGACATCGTGACTGGCTAATTCTTTTTTAATTTTTTGTAGAAACAGGGTCTCTAAGTAGGCCGGGTGCAGTGGCTCATACCCACACAATCCCAGAACTTTGGGAGGCTGACGAGATGGATCACCTGAGGCCAGGAGTTCGAGACCAGCCTAGCCAACAGGGTGAAACCCCATCTCTACTAAAAGTACAAAAGATTAGCCGGGAGTGGTGGCAAATGCCTATAATCTGAGCTACTCAGGAGGCTGAGGCAGGAGAATCACTTGAACCTGGGAGGAGGTTGAAGGAGCTTCTAGATCGCATCGCTGTACTCCATCCTGGGTAACAAGAGCAAAACTCTGTCAAAGAAAAAGAAAGAGAGAAAGAAAGCAAGAGTGCAAGAAAGTAACAAGGAAAGAAGGAAGAAGAAGGAGGAGGAGGGTAGGAGGGAGGAAGGAAGGAAAGAAAGAAAGAAAGAAAGAAAGAAAGAAAGAAAGAAAGAAAGAAAGAAAGAAAGAAAGAAAGAAAAGAAAAGAAAGAAAGTTGGCCATCCAAAGTGCTAGGATTACAGACATGAGCCACTGTGCCCAACCTAGTATGTGGATCCTTGAATGCCAAGCTAAAGGTTTCACCTTGGACTCTGGACAATGAGAAGCCATTGATGGGATTTGAGCTTGCTTGTTATGAAGCACAGGGTGAGGCAGTGTGGAATGGAGAAATATTCAGACTTCAGCAGTCATGATGAAAGCCATGGTCAGAAGATTCTTCTGTAATTAATGTGTGTGTTATCACTACTCCCCCCATGAACTCTTCCCTTTTTCAATACTCCCTAGCTCAGTAGCTGGTCCTTCAGTTGGACAAAACGGAAACACAGGTTTTAGGCCAGGCACAGAACACTTCAGGAGGCTGAGGCAGGAGAAACACTTGAGGTCGCGAGTTTGAAACCAGCTTAGTCAACATAGTGAAACCTCTTCTTTAGAAAAAAAAAAAAAAATTAAAAATCAGCCGGGTGTGATGGCACGCGCCTGCGTCCCAGCTACTCAAGAGGCTGAGGCAGGAGGATCTCTTGCGTGCGATCATGGCTCATGATCAACCTCAAACTCCCTGATTCAAGAGATGCTCCCACTTCAGCCTCTTGAGCAGCTGGGATGACAAGCACACACCACACAGCACCACACCCTGCTAATTTTTTTTAGAGATGAGGTCTTGCTGTATTGCCCAGGCTGGTCTTGAACTTCCAGCCTCAAGCAATCCTCCTGCCTCAGCCTCCAAAAGTGCTAGGATTACAGGCATGTGCCACTGCCCCTGGCCCAGTGTGTATTTTATAGTTAGAGCACATCTCCATTTGGACTGGCCACATTTCAAGTGTTCAACAGCAACATGTGGTTTGTAGCCACCATATTGGATGGTGGAGGTCTAGACACATATACACATGCACACTTCACAGGGACGGGGACTGTGTCTGACATGCTTACCATTTTACCCCCCTGGGACCTAGCACAGTGCCCAGCAAAGATAGGGATGAGGTTGGATTTTGGAGTTGGAGCTGAGGATTGGGTTAGGGCTCAATAGGAGTGGCATGAAGGAATGACTGAAAGTACTCACTATTTGCTCGCCACGTCATCTGCTGAAAGCTTAACATTCTCAGTTCTTCCATCAACTTCTGGTCTATGAAGACGAGTCCACATTGAGCCCAGATCCTCCTGTGCTCCCTCCCCAATCTCTCCCCATATCCCATCATGGCCCTACTCACATTTAATCACGGTCACAGTGAGACCCAGGCAGCCCAGGAACAAGGAAGTCACCACCAGCAGACACAGGTACATCATCCACCTCTTCTGGCAGCAGCCAGGACCTTCAGACATCTGATTGAGCCAGGGCGCTGGAGTTGCTGGGGAGTGGGCATGGGGACAAAGAAACTAATACTGGGGCTTCAGAGAGTGAGGAAGAGACTCTTAAGTCTTTCTCCAAGAGCAGGGGGCAGAAGTCTGTAGTCATGACTGTTTCAGCAGACAAGGTCAGCAAGAGAGGGTTAGGGAGAGTGAACCCTGGGGAGGCTCAGGATCTTTTTGATGCATTTACTGTGCGCTAAGCATCATGTTGCATCCTTCTCTTTTTCCTTCTTGAAACAAAGTTTCGCTCTGTCTTCCAGGCTGGAGGGCAGCGGCGCAGTTACAGCTCACTGCAACCTCTAACCCCTGGGCTCAGGTAATCCTCCCACCTCAGCCTCTCAAGTAGCTGGGTCTATAGGTGTGTACCATTAGGCCCAGCTAATTTATTTTATTTTTTTGTAGAGATGGGGATCTCGCCATGTTGCCCAGGCTGGTCTTGAACTCCTGGCATCAAGAGATCCTCCCTGTTTCAGCCTCCCAAAGTGCTGGGATTACAGGCGTAAGCCACTGTGCCCAACCTACATCCTTCTTATCTTATTGCAGTCTCATCCTTATGATGCAGGTTATAAGTATTATCTCCATTTTGCAAGTGAGTAAACTGAGGTTTCGTGAGGTTAGGCATGACTTGGACACAGCTTTGTTCTTCATATCTACGATGCATCATCTTCTACTCTCCAGAAGCCCTTGCCCAAGTTGCTCCTGGGTCAGGGAAGCTTGTGGACCACGGCTTCTAGAGCAGAGAACATTTCCCATATCATCTGCAAGCAGACACCTGAGTTTCTGGAGATTTGGCCTAGATTCGGAAAGGAGCAGCTTCTTTTTTTCTTTTTTAACACGGTCATCACTGACACCACCACTACCTCCACCACCGCCACCATTATCACTCCCAACAACACCATCACCACCTCCATTACCACCATCATCTCTACCAACAACACCATCAGTACCTCCATCATCACCACCATCATCACTACCAACACCATCACTATCTCCACCATCACCACGATCATCACTACCAACATCGTCACTACCTCCACCATCACCACCATCACTACCAACAGCATGATCACTACTTCCGCCATCACCACCATCATCACTACCAACAGCACCATCACTATCTCCAACATCACCACCATCATCACTATCAACAACATCACTACCTCCACCATCACCACCATCATCACTACCTCCACCATCACCACAATCATCACTACCAACATCATCACTACCTCCAGGCGCCGAGACAGTGCCTGGGCTGATCATGCATGTGAGCTAAGGGCTTTGCCCCTGTGTAGGGAAGGTGGGATGTGGGGGTAAAGCTAAGCAAGGCCAGACTTCCTGACAGGCTTGTAAGGAATCTTTTAGAAGTGGGGTATCTTAGAAAAGTCTTCAAGAATTCAAAGGAAAGGATTAAAAATGATGGTATTGTAAGCAGTGAAGAGGATGTAGCCACTGACCAGCTTACTCTCAAATTCACCACTGAGACTGTGCAGGATGGCTTATGCCTGTAATCCATAACTTTGGGAAGCTGAAGTGGGAAGGATTGCTTGAGATCAGGAGTTCGAGACCAGCCTGGGCAACATAGGGGGACCATCTCTACACAACAGACAAAGTTAGCTAGGTGTGATGGCACACCTGTAATCCCAGCTTGGGAGGACAGGTGGAAGAATTGCCTGAGCCCAGGACTTCCAAGCTGCAGTGAGATATGATCATACCACTGTGTTCAGGCCTGGGTGACAGAACAGGACCCTGTTCTGTCCCCGCCCCCAAAAAAATCCACCACCGAGTCATGAAAGTAATCAGAATGAGCCTCCATGCCTCAGAAAGCAATTTATGATTAAAGCACTTTCACATGATAAATTAATTAGGGCTTTATGAATAGGGGCAAAATAAGGATTATTATCCCATTTTAAGGATCAGGAGACTGAGGCTCAGAGGGAAATAATACAGGAGGATTGGAGCCCCAGGGCAGAGCTCTCCGTGAACAGGGACCTGCTGCTTTGCTGTGCTGAGGCTGAGAGTGGCAGAGGCCAATCCTACTGGCCACCAGGCACTCAGATCTGCTGGTCAACCTGATGCCAGTGTCAGAGAAGGGGGCTAAGGTCTCGAAGGACTCAACCCAAGATGACCTGTCCTTTCTCCCCTATTTCCTGTAAGTATTCCCGATCAAGGCCATAATGCCCCGCTTCTTGAATAAGGCTGCATGTGATCTATGCCGTTGTACAGATCTTCTGCCTTCTCTTCCTCTGGGTGCATGGTTTGCAGCTCCCAGCTTCCTGAAGGCCTAGATGTGCCTCTTCTGGCTTCAGCCAATGAAATATGTAGAAGTGATGTGTGTCACTACCGGGTGGAAGCTTTCAAAGCCAGTGTATGCTTGCCCATGTCATGCTCCTGCTGCCATGATCATGGAGGAATGTGCCCTCAAGGAGCTCTGTTAAAGGCATGGCCTACTTTGGACATGCAGCAAGAGCAGGAATTAAAGCATTGCTGTTTTTCACTGCAGCGGAGCCTCATCTAACTTGGCTAGTACAGCCATGAATGTTTGGGTCTTTGAGCAAAGGTGATGGTCCCAGGAATAGAATCCATGGTATCTGAAGGAGTAAGAGGGAAGAAGGTGAGATTGGCCAGTGGGTCCACTAGAATATAAGCTCTAGGAAGGCAGAGGTCTTTGTATATTTTGCCAACAATTGTATTCCCCAGTGCCAGAAGAGAACCTGACAACCGTAAAGGCTCAGCAGGTGCTCATTAAATGCTGAATAAACAAAATGAATGACCTGAGGTGAGGCAGGCAATGAGAGACAAGAGGCCTGAAAGGCAAAAGTGAATGGTTCTGAAAGGACTTCATAGTCATTCATTCATAAAATCTATAAACTCTATAAGCATTAAACACTATCATGAGAGATCCTCTATGTTAACCCAATGATTTGACCAGAAAAAGCCCACTGTAAGTGAATCTACTTAAAACAGGGACCAACATGTCATACAAAAGGGTGAATGAAAAAAAGATTTTAGTTGGGATTTCATTTTGAAAAAATGAGACTAAAAATATGAAAATAGAATCTTATATTGGACCAAAATAAGATTATAGTTACAACCATGTGCCAAAACTTTCAGTCCTCAAAGGACAAATCAAATATTGATTGGTTTAGCAGGGCATGATTTTCCTGAACAAAATTATATGCTAGTATGATACGACATTTTTAAAAAGGTCATATTTCACTGTCAGTTACATAATGATTAAAGTTTCTTTATCATGAACCATTGTTGTCCATATTGTCTTCTGTCATTCTCTGGCCTAACTGCCAGATTCTCATTTATCGATGGCCTTGTGTAGACTCATTAGAGTCCTCCAGTGTCTTCTCTTTGATTGGCCTTACTAACTCCCACAACTTTCATGATGTCAGTTTCACCATATGCAATCCTTCAGCTTTGTATGATCAGCGGCTTACCCCACCTGACGGAGAAACTGATGGACACGGATATTGTGTGTGAAGGGCAGGATCAACGCTGGTTCTGGCAAGAACAGACCTTATTTAGGGACTACTTTTGTAAGTGGAGTAGTCTATTCATGTTCTCTATTAGGATGACATTTAAAACCTACAACCTTGGCTAGGCAAGTGGCCTACGCCTGTAATCCTAGCACTTTGGGAGGCTGAGGTGTGGCGACCTGAGGTCAGGAGCCCAAGACCAGCCTTGGGCTAACATGGGGAAACTCTGTTTCTACTAAAAATACAAAAAATTAGCCAGGCTGGTGGCTGCACTTGTAATCCCAGCTACTCAGGAAGCTGAGGTAGGAGAATCACTTGAACCCAGGAGGCAGAGGTTGCCGTGAGCCTAGATCGTGCTATTGCACTCCAACTTGGGCAACCAGAGAGAAGCCTCTTGTCAAACAAACAAACAAACAAACCTATAACCTCACATCTACGGGGTTGCAGATAATGATTAAGCAGACTCCCATGGGGCCTGAATAAGGAAGTGGGGGATACTACGGCGAACCAGGCAGACCCATGTCCGCCCTCTAGCCACTCCCCCAGTGGCCACATTCTAGCTGGGTTGGGACCATCACTCCAGCTTCCCCGCTCCTAGCCCTGGGTCCTGTCTCTGTCTCCACAGTGGCACCCATGGAAGGAACCTCTTGGCAGAGAGTCCTGTGCCCAGCAGTTTGATCCTCAGTGTGGTCATGGGAATAGGGAGAAGAGTTTTGTGTTGAGACACCCTGGGACCCTTGCCTAAAGATTCACAATGCATGATCTAGCAAATGGTTTTCAGATTGAGACTAGGATCCTCTCCTAGACCCCAGTGAGGATTCAAGAGGTGAGATTTCAATTTCTCAGGTTTGTTAATTTGTCTGCCTTTGTTAATGTCTCTTCCTGAGATCTTGATCTGACCATGGTGCTTCCCTGCTTTGTGACTGTTCATTGTGTTAACTAAGCCTGACTTGTCTGTCAAATTCAGCTTCTCCTCACAATTCCTCGGCAGCTTGATCTCATATTTCTCTTGCACTCTCTGTGTTCCAAACTAGAATATGTGCTCTTCCCCAGACATCTGTAAGCCTCAACTTTGCACCCTTGCTTATGTTCTCCCCAACCCAGAGCCCTGTGATCCCATCTCTGTGTTTTGAAACCTACTCATCCTGCTGGTCTCTTCTGCCCACCTCCTCCATGGGCCTTTCCCACCCCTTTGTCTAGGAGTGATTGCTCCTTCCTCTAGGACCCTAGGATCCAGCTTTGCTCAGCTAACTTGCTTAACAATCTCCATGCTGGAATGGTCCTAAGTTCTCTTCTGTATGTTAGGCGCTGCCGCTTGCTCATTGCTAGCTTCTTTTGAGCTCTCTCTAAGACTTAGTTTTATCATCTGTAAAGTAGAGATTAGTAAAACCTCATGGGAGGCTGGGCACAGGCTCATGCCGTAATCCCAGCACTTTGGGAGGCTGAGGTGGGTGGATCATCTGAGGCCAGGAGTTGGAGACCAACCTGACCAACACGGAGAAACCCCATCT